AGGTTTACAGCGCCAGATGTGCACTAAAGATAGTAGCAATATTTACCAAAGATTTCCACGAGCACAAATTGATTTAACACTGAAATTGCCCAATGATCAGCAAATTTAAGCTTTTCCAGCATGCTCCGTGGTTCCACTGGCTCTAGCTGTCCTATTTCCTGAAATAACAGCATTTCATACAATCATGAAAGTTGGAAAAGACCACTAAGATCATCTAAGTCTAACCCCAACCCACCCCCACTGACCACATCCCTCAGTGCCACATCTCCACAGTTCTTGAACACCTTCAGGAACAGTGACTCCACCTCTCTGGCAGCCTGTGCCAGTGCCCAACTGCTCTTTTGGAGAAGCTCCCCCTAATATCCACTCTTCTACTGAACTACACTTCTGATAGGCCAGAAAGCTAAAGTTAATATTTTCAAGGTTTCTGCCTCTTATTACTTCTTTTGTGTGCAAAAATACACAACTAGTGAAAGAAGTGGAGTGCTACAATCTTGTGTTTAAAGCTGGAGAACAGCAGTGGTCAGAGTGCTCGGTCATGCAAAATTCTGGCCCTTTCAAGCACTCCCACCATTTCACTGCCATGGAAAGATGAACCTCATACAGTGATCTCCGGGGCTGGTGTAAGGTTATACTCTCAGTATCTCTCACTGTGCCACAGAAACGGTGGATCTCCTTCCCTGGGTTTCCAAATGAAATTGCAGAGCACACCCTCTGTCTTCTCCTGCTTTAGGCAGACAGGCATGAGTCACGGTTTCTCCCTTCTTCAATCGCTCCTCATTTTCAGCCCACAACTTCTCTGAACTCCTTTTCATCTGACCACGGCTATTTCTGCTTCCTCATCTCCTTCACACTGTGACACTTCCCTCAGGTCCAGCAGTGGGTTGCATTGACTCAGACATGGCAGAAGAAATAAGTCACCAAGAACATCTGCTAGATCTTGCTGCTTTCTGTGCTAAGTGCAGGTGCTCAGCACCTCTCAGCCTTCAACCTCATAGAGAGTTTATCTCCCACTGTCAAACACCGAACCGCCAGGAAAGGGGAGAAAGAACAGAAGGAAATTTCCATGTCCTGGAGAAAGTCAGCAGGACATCAGAGAACACCCCATTCACAAAACAGCAGCATCACCCTTGCCAAACTGGTGTGTCTGGTTAACCTTGTGTTCAGTCCTTATGATAACACTGTATTTGGAAAGTGGACAGCTGGCATTGCTCTAACTTTGTGCTCTTCAATCTTTTATAACAACAGTTCCACTGATGTTACTCTTAACCTTTTCTCTACACTGAACCCAGTGCTAAAATCTCTTCAGCTTTTTAGAGGAAGCAAACCAAATGTGTTTTCTTTTTTTGGTCAGTAATTTGTCCTGTAAGGGAGTGGAAAAGTATACTGATAACACATTACAGACACTGTATTCATCACATGTACAGCAGTGAGCTGGTTACAATGGAAACCCCATTGTGATATTTCAGATGTTGCTTGACTGTCGTAATGACTAGGAGACATCTGCTTCCTATTAACACTTTATTTTTTTTACAGTTGCTTTTAGTTGAGCAGGAGCAGAAGTGTTTTAATGGAGAAGACTGGTACTCTTTTAGAAATAACATTAATAATGAAAGAATCCTTGGATGTAGAGCAAAACCAGCAAACACACTGGCAGCAGATCTCACAGCATTCATAAGGAAATGATAGTGACCAGCCTTTGGGTAGGGGAAATTTTTTTATGAAAGAAATGAACTCTGGTATTGAAATTCCAGTCAGTAAACATCTTCAGACAGGTGACTGACTTCCTTTGATATTAATCCACAGACTTCTGCAGAATTTCTTCTTTAATGGATCACTAATGACATCAGAAACAAAAGCAAGAAACAACACTTCTGCAGGCTATTTAAGCCTGGTATTGACTAAATACTAATTAAACACAGCTCTTCACAGTAATCTTAATTATGTCTTCACTCCACCACATCTAAGGAGAGTCATGTAACAAACTAAGAAGATTAGCCAATTCTAATTGTTGAAAAAAAGTGTATTTTTATTTTTGCATTGTTTTTCAATGTGCGTATGGCCATGAGTCACACAAGGGAATTATTAAAAACAAGAATTCATGAATTTATACACCAAGACCAGGCAAATTAATTGGAGCTGACTTCCCTTAATATTAATGCAGCAGCTTGGCCTAGTGGTCTGCACAGCAGGTCAAAAGTTTTGAACATGTGGAGGTAGAGATGAGAGGTAGAAATTGGTCTGAATTAGGCAGACCAGTAAATAAGCATCATCAATTAACTCACATGTATACCAGTACAGAATCCTGTTTCCAGAGCTGGCCACAGCCACTGGCTCACTGCACTGTCTCAAGGCAGTCATGCATTTCCTATGTTCCATGGGGTTTCAGGCCCACAGGAACCTGAGTCTGGGATCTTCAACCCCATTATTTTATTCAGAACTCTACATTTCCAGGTTATTTTCTGAGAGTGAAATTTGAGAAAACTCAAAAAACCGAATTAGAGGCAAAATCCTTAAAAGCAAGTTACACTCTAGGCAGGTGATTAATTCTAATTGGCTTCAGTATGACAGCATCACACATCTGAAAACAACAGCACTCAGACCATGCCCCAGCAATTTAAGGGCCACACGTCCATTTGCAAGAGCAACCTGCAAACTCAGTCTGGGCCCTCAGTGCACTCAGGCACTCGCCATCCCACTGAAGCAAACACAGACATCGTTTCATTGAAAATCCATCAGACAGAGCTCCAACACAGATTTCTTTGAGCCTAAGTAGGCAGGGCCCAAACCCTTCACAAATCTGACCTTCAGCAGAGCAAAGCACCAAGCTGTCTGAGGGGTAACGACAGTCACCCAACACTTGCTTCTTCCAGGAGCAATAGTCTGGTGTTTGCTTGGGTTAGTTATTCTTGTTCCACCAGATTGCCAGATTCCTCCTTTCCTTTCCCCACTCACAGTACTAGCTGTCAAGCTACACATATGTAGCAACTTATCAGTAGGGCCACCCTTTCCCCTACATGTGCAGCAGCAGATGGATTCAGAAGTGTTTTGGGTGAAGTCCATAACCTTTTTTTTTTTTCTTTGTGGATTGCATTGGTAAGCATTTAAAGGCCTCCTCTGATTATATAAGAGAAAGCTATTAAACGTTTACTCATTGCTCTGTGCTCAGAGCTGCAAAGCCGTATCGTGGAACATACAAACACAGATGCAACCAGGCAATTATCATTCCTTTATCCCCTAAATAGATAGAAGATAAATTTGAAAGAAAATGAGGAACAGAATCCTTCTTCCTTTCCTTTTTTTTTTTTTATCCTTTTATCTCCCAATGTAGGAAGTTTACTGAATCCTTGCCAACAACTCACTCAGGCTAATGAAGTGTATAAGTAATGGGATTAAATAATCTTAAACCATTACTACAGTGGCTAATGCAGATGTTTTCCCAAACTAACGCAGATGAGTAGTGAAGAATGCCTGCTTGATTTAAAAAAGAGGAAAAGCATCAATCAGCAAGCAGATGAAGTCAATTCCATCCTGAAGTGAGTGAGATGTTTAACTTGTTGTATGAAGATGCTCCCCTCGCATTATGAACACACCTTCCTGAAATCTGCAGTGCTTTGCACATGGGCACCAGCTTCCTAAGATATCAGAATTTTTATCATACAATCATTATAGTGCTAACAAAAAAAAAAAAAAAAAAAAGAAAAAAGAAAAAAAAAGAAAATAATGTTTAAGGGGTACATTTTTCAATCAAAAAATCATTTAGGTTTTAAAAGTCAATTACCATGACTCACTTATCACTGCTACAAAAAGACAAATTCTGCCCCTTTTTATATTCAGCATTTCAGCAATAATCCCACTGAAAAGCCTTCACCAAAATAGAATGAAACAGTTAGATAGCAGTAGCATTTTCAGAAATATCTATTCTTTCTTTAATTATCAGCATACCAGAAATTTCTGCTTTCAAAAATAAGGTCTAATTATGGAAGGGCCTCAAGTCCATTTCATCCCCCCAAAAACAAACAATGAAACTCCACCATCTGGGTAAATAAAAGATGCTATGCAGCATACTGGTGGTACATTGGCTTTCACAAAATCTTGCAGGAAAATACATAGAGGAAGAACGTGCATGCTATAGTTACCAACTTTAAACTAGATTTCAGTTTAAAATGAGCTTCATTTAACAGTGGGCAAGAAAATCAATAGTTTATGAAAAGGACTCTAACTCCGAGGTTTAAAGGAAGATCCATCAATGTGTTAAGAATGTTCTGGAACTTTTCTTATTCCAGATTATAATGTTTTCCCAACATACTGTATGTTAAGGTCACAGCAAGGTAAGGCCTCAGGCACACTACGTGATGTTTCTTTAATTTACAACTGTACAACAGGTTTTAACTGTCTCTTATGGGAGCCTCTTAAAAGGTGCAGCCTCTTAAAAGGTGCAGTTAATTGTTTGATTTAGGAGCTCATTGGAGGCATAAAGTGAAGTTTGAGGATAAGGTAAGCTTCAAAAGATACTCAATCCAACTGCTGTTAAATCAGTGGAAAGACATCCATCAGCTTCATTAAGAAACACAGAAGTCGCTATTTCAGAAGTTTAAGTGCCACCTTGAATTTCATCTTCTACATTTTAGGGGGCACCAACATTTCTAAGGGTTTTGATAACAGATTTCTGAACACAAAAAACCTTATCAGAATAACACCTTCCCTTAAAAATCACTGCAGTGCCTGCTCCTTTCAGAGCACAAATCATCACCAAAAGCACCTATTTCTCTTGCTTTGGCCACTTCATTCAACAGCTTGGACAGAACAGAAAATGAAGTTAACAAAGGAAGCTGAAGTGATCTGAATGCCTCTGAAGATCATGGAAAACTAGTGCCCATCAGCTTACCATGAGATTGCCTGGTTTTGGCTATAAGGCAACAGTTCAACAATGAAGAAAACAAATATTTGTGATGTCTGCATGTAAAAAACCAGCGGACAAAAACCCCACAAGTACTTACAATATAGCAGGGTTCACAGTAGGCTTTCTTCTCTACTGCGTAGAAAGGCTGCCCCCTCAGCTTGTTCTTGCACATCATGCAGGTGAAGCACTCCACGTGGAAGACCTGGTCCATGGCTGTGCAGCCAGTGCCTTCCCCAACAACATTCTCCCCACAGCGAGCACAGCGGCCTGTCACCAGAAGGAAGGAACATGGGTCAGTGCAAGCTCCCATCTTTCGGTGGGGGAGAAAGTACTCCTGTATGCTTCCATCGCACAGTAGGCAGCAGGAACACGGCAGCTCAGCCAGCACAGGGGCAACTGATGCCATTGCTGGCAATGATCCAGCACATTAAAACACACTCCAGTGCTACCCCTCATGGAATGATCTAGAGAAGCTTGAAACTGGCCCCCAAAACTACACTGAAATCCTCACTGCTGGTGCCTCAGGCTGGCAACCATCATAAGGAGCCTAAGTCTCCCAGATGCAAAGCATTCACTTACCATCTAACATAACTATATAGTCACTCGCAGCTACTCAGCTAGATGGCATGAACCTGTGCTGAAAGCCTTGCCTCCACATGAAAGGATTTTGTGGTGGGATGCCTCATCAAGCTGCCTGGTGGCAGCACAATTTTTACCATTTAAAGAGTTCTTTTTGCTTGTTCAGCTTAAACCAATTGTCTCAATAGAGCCAATTATGCTGGCAAAAGGATTTTACTTTTTATGCTTTTACCAGTATAGCAGCATCAATCCTTATGCTCTTGTTAATGTGCTGGTGCTGAGCTAGTTTGTATTTTAAACAACAAGTAGTAGCCAGTCTTAGTGATGACAAAAAGTGCAATACCATCTTTTATGTGGAAAAGTGACTTTTTTGTGTTTGAAGATTAATATTGACTAAGATGCTATCCATTCAAAGACTAAAGCCATTTCTCAAAAACTGATGTGCAAATATTTGATTCTTATCGTAATTCAAGAAAAGCCTATCAGAAGCTACTAACAAGGGTAAAGGCAAGTCCTAAGAACTCCAGTTGTTTCTAAGAAAGGTCCCTAGTGCAACATGCAAACAAAAACATAACAGAAGAAACCTGCAGGAGCACACATAGGAGGCTTGCTGCCTTGTTTACCTTGTTGCTGAAAACATTATGTAGCAGAGCCTCCAGCCATGGGACCCTGCATCCCTCCTCAGTGGGTGGGGTAGAGGGGATGATGAAAAGCAAGAAGGAGGGAAGGAAGACCAGAGCTCATCTGAGAGCAGGCAGACAGAATTACTCATAAAAACACACACGAGTAATATGTACCTAGTAATGATTAAGTAATCCAGCAATGATACAATGCTCTTTCACACTACAGCCTGTGCTTACCGACTATTCCAAACAAATACTGCAAAACTTCCTAAAAGGTCTTGCACCAGTCCTATTGTTCCAACCACAGGGCTTCTGAGCAGTGGGACATCTTCCAACACACGTCCTCACACCTTCTTCCCTGCCTGCCCCAGCCTTCAGCAGGCTATACCCAGGGAACAACATATGAGATTCTTTCCTACGTGGCAACACACATTGCTTGTCTGAGCAATGTGGAGAGAGCTACCAGGCAAATGAAGACAAGCCTGGAACCTCCTCCAAATAGGAATTAATAGATGTTGTTTTTAAGCTTTAATTTATTTAGCATTTGTTATTAGTGTTTTGACAGTGTTGTGCTTTAATCACACCACTGTAATGCTTCTTGTGAGGGCTCCTCTTTTACAAGCGGAGAAGGAATGCAGGCTTCCCAGCATGGTGATGAGGCTACAGAGCATGGGGGAAGAATGGAAAAAAACACGAGAACTAGGAAAAATAAAAATAAAAATAAAAATCCCACTGGAGAGAACCATCGGAGCAGTACTTCTGTGGGAAAGAGGCAGAAGAAACAGGAGTTGCATGTACAAGAGAGCACTGCTCGGTCCTCTGCGTGGACAAGACCAAGTCGCTCCAGGGCCTTCTCCAAACTGCTCGTGTAGCGGGGCTGTAATATGAACAGACGTCTGGGGAGCAGTTAATATCTCCATATATAAAACATGAAATTGAAAGCTATTAGTGTATTACTTTACACAGTGTTTTTCCAGCGGGAATATTCCGCTGAAGAATTTATTTTCCCTGGTGTGCCATTCTGTGATCATCCGGTATTATTTTTATGAGGCATTTGGACACAGAATAATGCAGTGTCTATGCAAACACTTCTCAGCTTTCTTTGTTAACATCTGAGCAGAACATGTGGGAATCTTTTCTTCCCTCCTCCTCACATTCATAATTTAGCCACTCTCACATACTTCAATGTTTACGTCCCCCTTGACCAAGGCGCTCGCTGCAGAAGCTGTCTATACGTAGATCATACTTCTGGCTGCACTTCTCACATCAGGAAATCATGGTCTGTTTCTTTCCTAGCTTAGGCATGTACTCCTGTAATCCCTGGCAAACCGCTCAGCACCTTTGCACCTCTGTCCTCCCTTTGAGTGAAGGGCATAAAGACATCTTCTCTGCCTCAGAAAGGTGCCCTGAGGCTACATTCCTGCACACCTCTCAGGCATTCCCCAGCTTCACTGCTGGTGGCCAGGTACAAACCAAAGAGCAGCACAACACACATCTCAGCCAACTTCTCCCCTTGAAGTTGGTATTTCCTTAGGCTTTCCTTCCTCTTTCTGGGTTTTTCCACAGAAGATTCCCATTCAGGCAGCGACAGACTTAACCCATCTACATTTATGAGAAGTCCAGCTTCTGCTGTTATGTACACGGACAGAAATGCTACTGTAAACCCTCACACAGGAAAGCTTAAAGAAAGCTTCCTTTTTCATAAGTTTATATGCAAATTGTAGTGCTGTGGCCTGGAGCAAACAATGTTTTTCATGAGACATGGCCACTCCAATGAGAATCAAAACACAAGCTCTGTGCCTAGCAACACCACCAACTGACTCACTCGCCCGAAGGATGAGAGCAAGTAAACCAAAATATTCAAATCTGGGAGCTTACAGTTGGGCTTCTGGATCCATGCAAAGGCACACGCGTGAATACATAACTGATGGTTTGCAGCAATGCAGCTGTTAAAGACAGCAACTTCTGCAGACTTTGGTGCAACCTATGAACTCAAAAGTCTTCTATAAAGCCAGGTTGCTTCTCCCGACTCCCATGTCTTACTCAGGTTTGGCTGAAAATGGCTATTAGTTTCAAGAGTTGTTGGTGAGGGAGGAACTGACAAACAAGATAGGCACATGCACACAGGCAGTGTGATTGCACAAGCCTCATTTCCTTAGAAAACCAGAAAAACCCCACCAGAAACAATGCATCTATCATTATGTCTGATAAAAACAAAACAAAGGTCTGCTTTTCCTGTGTGCCAGTTACCAACAGCAAAGGTATTTGTGGTTGGATTCACCACAATTAAGTGCCCACACATGTTTTCCATTTTAATATTTTCACACTGGATGAAATTACCCAGCCCGTTGTGTGCAGAATACCCATGAGTGGATACAGAACAAGTTGCACTGCTTATTGAGAAAGAGGTAGCAAAGGCAAAGCTTGCAAGACTCAAGAACAAACAGATTGCATAAAAAAAGATTACACAAATAATCTAAAAGAAAAATAGCAGGCAGCGTATTACAGTAGAAACACAGAACAACGTGACCCATTTGCTTCCCACAGAGACAAATAGCACTTAAAAGGCACCTTAAAGACAAAGGACAAAATTAGTACTAAACTGCATGAAGATGAGACTATGTCATTTCAGCATTCTTCTTTGGCCCCTTCAGGCCTTTTCAGGTCCTGGTTCAAGATAATTTCGGCAAAACTAAAGGTGATGCATTGGCAGCATGCCTGGGAGACTGGAGTCCTCCCATGTTGCATGAAAGAGCTTCATAACCTTGGCTGTGACCTTCCTTCATCACAGCTTTGCTGCCACATGTTGGTTTTACCTTGGGGGGACAGTTAGAGGTGCCCACAGAGGCTTCCCTGCTGAAACCACTGGAAATGCCATCATTACTCAGTGGGTCACAGGGAAAACTTCAGTAGCTGAAAGGGAACATCAGCTCCTACACTGCATTCAGAAACCTCATTTACTGTCCTCTGAAGCATAAGCAATACAGTAAATTCAAATTGAGGGGGGAAATTTACATGATGCCATGTTCTAACTTCTTGTTATATTATTTCTATTATTATTATTATTATTTTTGCTTATACTGTCACTCTGATGCTCTGATTGTGGAAAAGCCTGGTCAGCAAGGAAAATTGTGGTCTCAGCACTCTAAATGTTTTACTATTGACAAGTAAGCTGCAGACAGCCCAGCCAAGGAAAAGGTTAAGGAAGAATTTGAAAGAGGATCTGGATGGAGTTTTGAGAGAAGTTTAATGGGATGCTTCTGAGGAAAGGACAAAGACAGCACAAAAAGGAAACATAAGTGCTTGAAGATTGAACATAGATACCTGCAGACGGAAAGGATGAGCTGATATGTCACTGGAGAATAAGAGAGGAAAAACAGAGGGAATAGGTCACTACAGGCCATGCAAGTAAAGACAAGAAGCTTCTGTTTGATCTGATGCAGAAATGAAACCAGAGGGATAATTAAAGAGGCAGGGACAATCTGGCCTAAGTGACAAGCCAGAGAGTGATCTCTGCAGCTGCATTCCAGTTGAGCATGACCAGAGAGAAATTGCATTTTTAGAAAAGAATACTGCAGAGATTCAAGGTCACTAGAGCCTGGATGCAGGTTTTATCTACAAAGACGAATATGAGAGGCCCTAATCTGAGCTCTTATTCAGCAAGATTCATAAGATTTGCCCGGAGTCTGGGTGTGACCTGAAGATGAAGAATTAGGTACAGGGTGTCCCAACTTATCTTGGACATGAGTCACTTCTAAATGTCAGATTAAGAATGCGAGCCAATCAGACAAACAAACACCACTAAGGATAGATGATGGAGTAGCTATATGCCATACTAATGCTTATGGCATAATATTCTGATAGCAAGCACACTGGAGCCCAGTACAGAGGCAATGTAATGCATGCAGCCAGCTTGGAATGGTTCTGTTTGGACATCCAAGGACTGCATTAACCTTTTTTAGGCTACAGCATTACATGTCTGTCATACCCATTTAGACACTAAGCTGTTGGGAGTATAACCATCCCTTGCTATGTGATTTACACTGCCTAACACAGATAATTCAT